TGTAGTGACAAGCAGCAGGTGTGTTTGTTTGACTGCGTTTTGTTTGTCAGAAGTGCTTTAAGTTTCCTGTTTTGATTCGCTGTTTGATGAAAATGGACTAGATACTATTGTTCATTCAAGCAGTCGCCATGGAGATATACTACGCTGTCATCTTATGGACTTTATGGATTTACTATGTCCAAGGCGAACGCAGCCAGCAACGTGAGCCGGTAAGGACATATTCTCGAGAATGTTTGATGCGATGGGACAATCCGTGTATGGGAAATATATATTTGGACCCGCTTGTATCTGAAGACATTCTAGCTGAGATCTCTAGGCGTAGGTCTCCTGGAAATGATCGCAAATACTCTCGCAAAGAGAGGAAGCGAGGAAGGAGAGGTGGCGTCCGACTTCGGTTAAAACGACAAAAAATACGCCGTATTCCGCTCCCTTCAATAATACTCGCAAATGCTCAGTCGCTCAGAAACAAGATTGATGAGCTTCAAGCAAACTCGAACTATTTACAGGAATACAGGAACGCCTGTATTATGGCCTTCAGTGAGACGTGGCTGTCGTCTAAAGACACCGACACGGATTTATCGATCAGCGGCTTTGGGGCGCCAATTAGGTTGGATAGAGACGCAGAAATCACAGGGAAATCTCAGGGTGGTGGTGTGTGTGTATACATAAACCAGCGGTGGTGCAGCAACATCACCATCAGGGAAAAGATATGCACTCCTGACATCGAACTGCTTTCCATCTCCGTTCGCCCGTTCTATCTCCCGAGAGAATTTCCCCAGATATTTGTGACTGTAATATATATTCACCCCAAAGCAAACACACAAACTGCTGCCGATATCATTCGCAAAGTGACTCAAAGACTTCAATCTCTTTCCCCGGATGCCCCGTGTCTGCTTATGGGGGATTTTAATAACTGCAAACTGAGTAAAACCCTCAACTTGTATCAATACGTCACATGTCCAACTAGGAAAAATAAGACTTTGGACAAGTGCTATGGTTCAATTAAGGAGGCTTATAAGGCCTTCCCTCTGGCTCCCATAGGATCCTCAGATCACTGTACTATCAATCTCACCCCGGTGTACAGACCTATGCTTAAAAGGGGGGAAGTTAAAACTAGAGAGATTGAGATCTGGGAGGATGAGTCTGTTCTGAAATTACAAGGTTGTTTTGATTGCACCGATTGGTCTGTCTTCATTAACTCTGTTTCGGATATTGATGAGCTTGTTGATGCTGTATGTTGTTATATTTCTTTCTGTGTGGATTCTATTATTCCCAAAAAGCATGTCAAAGTGTATGCAAATAATAAGCCATGGGTCACTAGCTCACTGAAACAAGTGTTAATGAAAAAACATAGGGCTTTTCATAAGGGGGATGAGCGTGAAATTAGGGAGGCAACTAAGGAGGTCAGAGCAGAAACCAAGAAGGCTAAATTGCAATATAAAAATAAGATAGAGGAAAGACTGGGCAGTAACAACTTGAAGGTAGCATGGGATGGTGTGAAAACAATGATAGGCTTGCAAAAAACACATAATAAACCAGTCCAATTGCCAATGTATAAAAATGATAGCGAGTTAGCTGAAGCGCTGAACACCTTTTTTTCACGTTTTGATATTCATGACTTCTCGGACAAACTACAGAAAATAACTGAGGAACAGGCTCAGGTAGAATCTATACCTTTCTCAATTACAAAGGAGGAGGTTAGGTCTGTATTTAAGAGAATTAAGGTAAATAAGAGTCCAGGACCAGATGGAATTACTGGGAGATTATTGAAGTGTTGTTCAGAGCAACTCTGTGGGGTGTTTGCTGACATTTTTGAGATGTCCCGGGAACAGGGAAGGGTCCCAATGGCTTGGAAGGAGTCTATTATTGTTCCAGTGGCAAAGGGCAACTCTGCAGGCACATTAAATGACTTCAGACCAGTGGCATTGACTTCACTGGTCATGAAGTCATTTGAAAGGATAGTAAAGCGGCTTCTGCTGTTCAGGGTGGGTGGGGCCCTGGACCCTGGGCAATTTGCATATAGGGCTAGCAGAGGGGTAGAGGATGCCCACATTACACTCTTAAATCTCCTTTACAGTCATTTAGAGGGTCCTGGTACACATGCCAGGCTATTGTTTTTAGATTTTTCTTCTGCTTTTAATACTATCCAGCCACATGTTTTAGTCAGTAAATTATTATCAGAATTTAATATTGAGAGTAATCTTGTGAGCTGGATTATGGATTTTTTAACAAATAGAACACAGCGAGTTAAGGTGAATGGTTGTCTTTCTGAAAGGCGTTTCTCTTCCACTGGCTCTCCGCAGGGTTGTGTACTTTCACCTCTACTATACATTCTCTACACTAACGATTGTAGGAGCCATTATAGCAATAGACACATCCTGAAATATGCTGATGATACAGTTATTGTCAGTTTACTGCAGAAACATGAATCTCAGCATGGGCCAGTGGTTGAAGAGTTTGTCAGTTGGTGCGACAGGTCTTTTCTCCAGCTTAACACCTCTAAAACCAAGGATATGCTCATAGATTTTAGGAGAAAACAACTTGGTTCTCCTCTACCCACCTATATAAAAGGAATCAGCATAGAGGTGGTAGAGCAGTATAAATATCTGGGTACTGTGATAGACAGTAAACTCAAATTTGACATAAACACAGAGATGATCTGCAAAAAGGGACAACAACGATTGTACTTCCTAAGGAAGCTTAACTCTTTTAATGTTGATAAGGTTATCATGTCTTTATTTTATAAATCTTTTATTGAATCTGTCCTTACTTTTGCTTTTATTGCCTGGTATGGGGGCATCAGCCTGAGGGAGAAAAATAACCTCAGCCATATTGTGAAGGTGGCTGGTAAGTTAATAGGCTGTCCACAGGTTTCCTTGACAAATATTTATGAGAGGCAGGTTATGAGGAAAGCCGATGCCATATTGGACTGTGTAAATCACCCCCTTCATTGTTCTTTTGAGGTCCTCCCCTCAGGTCGGAGATTTAGAGTCCCTTGTTTTAAGTCCAATAGGACAAAGAACTCCTTTATACCAAATGCAATTAGGTTGCTAAATTTGCACAATTCTTTGACCTAGATGAGTAGTAGTGTATAAGTTTTTAATTAGTAGTTTGTGTTGCTTAATTGTATGTGTATGTGGTGTTACCTGTATGTTTACCTGGCTGCAAGACAAGTTTCCCTTAGGGGACAATAAACTGAAACTGAACTGAACTGAAACTGAACTGAGGGTTAGTGTTTCTGATGCGTAACTCCAGATATTAAAGCAGGGTTAGTGTTTCTGATGCGTAACTCCAGATATTAAAGCAGGGTTAGTGTTTCTGATGCGTAACTCCAGATATTAAAGCAGGGTTAGTGTTTCTGACGCGTAACTCCAGATATTAAAGCAGGGTTAGTGTTTCTGACGCGTAACTCCAGATATTAAAGCAGGGTTAGTGTTTCTGACGCGTAACTCCAGATATTAAAGCAGGGTTAGTGTTTCTGACGCGTAACTCCAGATATTAAAGCAGGGTTAGTGTTTCTGACGCGTAACTCCAGATATTAAAGCAGGGTTAGTGTTTCTGATGCGTAACTCCAGATATTAAAGCAGGGTTAGTGTTTCTGATGCGTAACTCCAGATATTAAAGCAGGGTTAGTGTTTCTGACGCGTAACTCCAGATATTAAAGCAGGGTTAGTGTTTCTGATGCGTAACTCCAGATATTAAAGCAGGGTTAGTGTTTCTGATGCGTAACTCCAGATATTAAAGCAGGGTTAGTGTTTCTGACGCGTAACTCCAGATATTAAAGCAGGGTTAGTGTTTCTGACGCGTAACTCCAGATATTAAAGCAGGGTTAGTGTTTCTGATGCGTAACTCCAGATATTAAAGCAGGGTTAGTGTTTCTGACGCGTAACTCCAGAGTTTGCCGTTTTCATGGAAAGTGCCGAAGTGTGGAAGTTTGTTTCTGACACGGAGTAACAAATAAAAAAAGGTCATTCTGACTTTTTCTTAATTGTGAGTTAAAAGTTTAAATTGCGAAATATAAACTCACACTTTCCTCTTGTATTTGTTTTATTCCGTGGCAGAAACAAGTTTCCATAGTGTAGTCTCCTCAAATAAAGCCTCGGCATCATCGATCGCCTGCGTTTGAGGATCAGGGTGTAAAACGGATGCGCTAGAGAAACTTTATCGTGGGATTGTGTCGTCTGGCTCGTCATCACACCGTACATTCGTGACATCATCACACCGTACATTCGTGACATCATCACACCGTACATTCATGACATCATCACTCGCTCAACCAGCAAACGATGCACCCGTGTTACAACAACTTAATAATTCATATTCAGCCTGATGAGTCTCAGAAACACACTTCCGATCTCCAGACCGCTGGCGTTCACAGTCACACTCGCTCTAGTGTGTGTTTGTTGTGCATATTTTTGTGTTCATGGCTTGTAAACACTTCCTGTTAGCGAAGGGCCGGACGAGGGTATTACCCATCAATCACAGTGAGTGACAAGAGCTCCAGTTCTCTCGGCTGTCCTCGATTTAAAAAATATTCCTGGATCACATGATTGTTAAGATCTGAGTGTGCGTGTGTGTGTGTGTGTGTGTGTGTGATGGGTAGGGTTAGGGGTCGGGTTAGTGCGTGTGTGTGTGTGTGTGTGTGATGGGTAGGGTTAGGGGTCGGGTTAGTGCGTGTGTGTGTGTGTGTGTGTGTGTGTGTGTGTGTGTGTGTGTGTGTGTGTGATGGGTAGGGTTAGGGGTCGGGTTAGTGCGTGTGTGTGTGTGTGTGATGGGTAGGGTTAGGGGTTGGGTTAGTGCGTGTGTGTGTGTGTGTGTGTGTGTGTGTGTGATGGGTAGGGTTAGTGTAAGGGGACAGAATATACAGTTTGTCCAGTATAAAAACCATTACGTCTATCGAGATTCCCCACAAGTACAGCTAAACGAACATGTTTACATGTGTGTGTGTGTGTGTGTGTGAGATTGTACGCTGCAGGTCCTGAGTGTTTGCTGGTTTGCGCTCAGTCTGATGAATGAGGTATTAAAGGCATGGCAGCTTCGCTCGGGTCGGTGTCCTTCAGCTCCTCCTTCTGCTTCTCCAACAGCGCCACCAGCTGGCAGCTCTTGTCCACGTCCTCTTTAAACTGCACGTAGGGTGTGTGTGTGTGTTTCAGCATGTTGGGCAGGTGAGGCACCAGATGAAGCTGCCCGCTGGCCGTCACGCCAGTCACACACGTGTAGAAGTCATGTGACGCTGGCGCGGGGGCGGAGCCTAGAATCATGGTGTAGTCCATGCCTGGGACCGACAAGAGCTCGGGGAGGGCGTGGCCAGGGTCGGGAGGGGGCGTGGCTCCCTCACAGTAGGAGGCGGGGCCACTGGGGCAGTACGGGTTCGGACTGGAGCTCGTCTGAAGGGCCGGCGGTCCCTCGGGGCCGGTGACGGGCTTTTGTTCACAGTGAGACGGGAAGCTGTTGGGCGTCAGGGCCGAACCCGAGTCCATGCTCACCTGGTACCACGTCTCTATGGAGTACTGAGGAGACTTATAGCCGTGGAAACTGGAGAAATGACGATTGATCTCATCGAGCTTCCCATTCTGGAGGCAAATGGACAGAAAGAACAGAAGGTAAAGCAGATGCTTCTTTAATTGAAGTTACTCATGTGGTTCCTACTAAACACACGAATGCTCAAACGTTTCGGGTAAGATTATTGAGGATGCATTAAATAGAACAGTAAAGACATTTATAAGGTTACAAAAGATTCTATTTCAAATAAACGCTGTCTGTAGAGGTTTGATCAGACCACTAGTGATGGCTGAATTAAACAGCACTATTAACCCAGTCAGTGTAGTGTAAAAGGTTGTGTGGTGTGTGACGGGACAGCGAGACCTTCAGCAGAACCGGTTCAAGCCCACGGATGCGCGGTTTGGGAATCGGCGGTAAGAGGAACGCTTTGATTCTGCAGGAACACAAACAGAGAAAGACTTTAATGAGAATGTGGAATGAAGAGTTTCTATTTCATCTTATTATTTGTTTCTTACATATAGTTTTTTTTTCTAATGTATTATTTATATGTTTTGATATGAATTGGTTCATGCACATGGTGTCCCTCAAAGCCAAGAGCAGAACCACGATTATGTTTATGGAAGCTTGTTTCCACCACAGAATAAAAAATAAAAAAGGTAAATGTGACTTTTAATCTCAAAAATACTTTCTTGCAATTCTGAGTTTATCTAAAGTTCTGTCATGAAACTCAAGATGGCGCAGGCTGACCAGTCCTAAACTCAATCTGCTTGCAAACACATCATTCTCTACAGGGCACAGCTGATTGGATCCTGCTGTATCAGTAGCCAATGAACTCGCTGCTCAACTTTCAAATATCCCCACTCATCTCTTTCAAGCCCTTTCTTCTGCAGTTAGGTGTACAGGGGTGAGGTGAGGTGTCTAAGACCCAACATCTAGCTACTGGAGTCCCTCAGGGCTCAGTGCTGGGACCGCTTCTCTTCTCCATGTCATCACTAGGATCTGTCATTCAGAAACATGGCTTTTCCTATTACCGCTACACTGACGACACTCAAATCTACCTCTCATTCCAGCCGGATGATCCGACACAAGCTGCTCGCATCTCAGCCTGACAGACAGACATTTCTTGCTGGATGAAGAACCATCACCTTCAACTAAACCTTGCGAAGGCAGAACTGCTCGTGTTCTCGGCCAACCCAACACTGCACCACAACTTCTCTATTCAGATGGGTTCTCTATTCATCCATAACTCCATCAAGCTCAGCCAGGAACCTTGGAGTTGTGATCGATGATCAGTTGAACTTCACAGACCACATTACTAGAGCTGCCGGTCCTGCATATTTGCCTTATCCAACATTAGGAGGATCAGGCCCTTCCTATCGGAGCTACACAACTCCTTGTTCAAGCTCTTGTTCTGTCCAGACTGGACTATTGTAATGCTCTCTTGGCAGGCCTTCCACTATCACTCCTCTGCAACTGATCCAGAATCCAGAAGAGTGGTCTTTGAGCTGAAGAGACGCACGTCACTCCTCTCCTCATAAACCTGCACTGGTTGCCAGTCGTCTTGTGGTGCATCATCTCAAAGAGACACAGAATCACTTTCACAGACCTTCCCCTGGACTGTTCCCTGCTGGAGGAATGACCTCCCAGACTGAACCTGAGCGGATGAGTCATTAGCCATATTCATGAAACTGATGAAGACGCATCTCTTTCGGCAACACTGGACCCATTAATACTAACACTTACTCTTCTATATCTATATACTGTATATATATATATATATAAAACTGTGCTAGATTAACTGGGACTCGTCACGCCACTTGCATATTGCTGCATTATTGTTTGTTTGACTGCTTCTATTGTTCTCCTCATTTGTAAGACACTTTGGATAAAAGCATCTGCTAAATGATTTAATGTAATGTAATGTTAATACTTGCTGCAGCGCGCTTTCAGAAACTCTCCTCTTTCCCCAGCTCCACCTGTATAGATACGGGCAATTCATGTGTTATATTGTACAGCAGCATGTCGTGTGTGTGTGTGTGTGTATTGGCAGCAGCAGCGTAGCAGATCTATTCCACCAGGACCAAACATATCAACATTATCATACCCATTACCATCCCAAACACTGCGAGAGTTGTCATGACAGCCATACCAATTAAGAGTAATAAAGTCAGAATTGCAAGATAAAGTTGCAACAACCTTTTTTATTTTTTATAATTAAAAAAGTACCTCACTGACCTCTTTCCTTGTGGAATAAACCCAAAACCGATGATGAGGAAGGCCATGATGCCGAGGCTGGTCAGCAGAATGAAGACCAACAAGCGATCTGACACACACACACACACACACACACACACAGACAGATGTTTAGAGCATGAGCTCAACCTTCACATGTGACAGACGGGTCAATGCCTGTGTGTGAGTGTGTGTGTGTACCGGACAGAGTTTTGCCGATGACGCTGATGTTGATGGACTCGCTCCATGCGCTCCAGTGTTTGCTGTTTCCGGAGCGGCACCGGACCATGAACTCATACTTTCCCACCGGCAGACCCAACAAGTCAACATGAGGCTCCCGCAAACGCTCCTTCACCTACGGACACACACCACACGTCCTCAATCTTACTTAAAGAGGCTTTTCTCATAAACATTTCTAGAATTATTGTGAAACACTTTACAATACGGCTGCACTACTGCATTAATTCACGCTTAACTAATGCACAGATAATTATGAGTTAATGTATGATTCATGAAGAACTAAATAATCTGGCCTCTAAAATTGCTATAAAATCAAAGCCATATGTCTAGCCAAGCTGCTAAAAGGATTTAAAGTATCGATTCCATGGTAACACAATGTCCAATTTCAAAACCGTTTTCAGAGGATGGATTTTGAGTGTTCAAGCTTTCGATTGATGCCTAATTGATGAGGATTATAATGATTTATGTGCATAATTGTGCTCCTGTATTGTACAGTGTTCCCAGTTGTTGTCCTAAAAGCGAAGGCCGTACCTTCCATGTGTCGGGCTGAGCGAGGTTTCTGTAGCGCAGCTCGTAGACCAGCGTAATCCATCCCTCGCGCACCAGAGACGCGATCGGGAACATCCAGGACAGCGTGACGGAGCGGCAGGATTCACAGTGGCTCTCGTTCAGCATGATGTAGGACAGGTTAAAGGGCGGGTCGGTCTGCACTGCAGACGCAAACACACCAGATCATGATTATTGAGGAGGATGAGCTCCAGAGAAACCGGTTTTCCTATCTACCTCTTTATTACTGTGAAGCTGCTTTGAAACAACTGTACTGTCTAAAGTGCTGTAGAATAAAGCTGATTGACAAGCTGTGAAACTCTGCATTTAGGCTGCAAATCAACCTTTAAAAATAAAGGTTTCAAAGGTTGTTTTTTTTAAAGCGATGCCATAGAACAGTGTTTCCCAACCCTGCTCCTTGATGCACACCAACAGTGCACATTTTGGATGTCTCCCTTTTCTGACCCATATATTTCTGGTCTTGGAGTCTCTACTAACGAGCTGATGAGTTGATTCAGGTGTGATCGATTAGGAAGAGTTGGAAAATGTGTAGTGTTGGTGTGCCTCCAGGAACAGGGTTGGGAAAAACTGCCATAGAAGAACCATTTTTGGTTTCCCAAAGATCCTTTCAGTAAACAGTTCTTAACTCTTTCCCTGCCATTGACTGAATTTCCCAGCGATCCGTGTTTTCACTGTTATGCGGTAGGGGGCGCTATTACACATCTTCTGAAAGAGTACAAAATCTCCCGATTAAAACACAGGACAGGAAGCAGAAACGAGCGATAGAAGCATTGCTGACGCACATGTAAATTATAACGCGATCATCAAACTTTAAACAGCATCTAAATCAAAACTGCCGAACGTTACTGAAGAAATGCTGAACCCATTAGGAGGAAACGGCTGCGACTCGATCTACTCCGTCTGTGTTTATGATCATCGTTCTGAATCCCATTCGGATGAACACTTTGACAAAAACACAATTTTCTCAGCTTTTTGATGAAACTTACACACATTCAAGTGTTGATCAAATATAATGAATGAAGCTGAAATAAAAGCTTCTTTCTTTTGATATATTGCATGTTCAGATATTTATACGGCAAAATATTCTGGTTTGGTGAAAAGGATAAAAAATGCTGGTGGGGAAAGAGTTAATAAAAAAAAAAAATCTCTTAGTGTAAAGAAAATTACAGTAATCTTAAGAACCTTTTGTGCAATGGAAAGATTTCATGGATTATTATTAAAGGTTATTAAAGGTTAAGTGGGTAAATCCCAATAAAGAGACGTTATTTGTAAGAGTGTAGGGCAGGACAAACACACACTCCTCAGTGTGGACAGGAGGACGTGATGTCCTGTACCTATATCGGCCACGTCCAGGCAGTGTCTCTGCGAGGTCCGCGGGCCCGAGGCCGTGTGAGCCGTCACGGTCATGCAGTAGATCTGCCAGACCTGCGTGTGTCTGGTGTCGAAGAAGCAGCTGTTGGTGCCGCTGCTGGTGTAGTCGGGACAGTCCTGAGGAGC